TTAAAAATAAAATTTTATTGATAGTTGCTTATTAAAAATTTTTAGTTTTTAAAAAAATTATCACCGCCATTACTTTCGCCGGAGACTATATATCCTTCAAAATAGTGAAAATAAAAAATCCGACTGTAAGAATTATTTCTTGACTTCTAAACAGCGCATAACAACAATGAAATTCAGTGTGCGGAACGTGCGGCGCTAACTAGTGTTGGTTTCCAAACTAAAGAGTTTCACAACTATGGAAAAGTCAAAAAGTTTTCGCCACAAGTCAAAACTAGTTTGACTTTTGACTTTTGACATATAACTTTTAATTTTAGTTGACTCTTACCTCTTCAAAATAGTTTGGGGACCAACTAATAGCGGTTACCATCTTTACACAGCACATCCCGCGCACTGATATATGTTTTCTCTACCCTCCATATGTTCTTATTCCCTTTCAATACGGAACAAAAAAAAATAATATTACCTCTTTTATTTTTTCTTCCTCTTTTTTTCGATTCCCAATTTTTATCGCATTTACGACCGTATTTACAACATCTTTTGCAAGGAGTTTCTTCGCTGCACTTTTTTTTCGCTTGATGACATTCCCAACAACTTTTTTTTATATAGGAACCTCCCATCACCGACAAAAAAATAAATTTACAATGGTTAAATGTTGTCTTATTTAACCTAAGTTAATTGGTACGCAAAAAGAAATTTTTTTTGTTAAATGCATTGACTCTTGACTTTTCTTTTTTTATAAATTAATCGGAATTTTTTCAATTGGACGGTAATTTGTATTTGATAATATAACGTCCACTCACCGTTCACTAAGAGAAACTATTGTCGGTAAATAATTCTATTAATAGCATTAGATTATGCTTTCTTCACAATTGATATATAAAAGGTATTTTCCTAATTGCTCCATAGCGGTATTTTTTTCGATTGGTAACAAAATTGTCTTATCGTGTGTCTTTCGTGTAATAAATAATATTTTCTTTGTGATCAAATTTAGTAGTTTGTTCGATTTTTTGAATTAAAAATTAGCCAACTATACTTTTTCATTGAATTCACACCCAAGGCACCTCACCATCCAATTGATTAATGAATATTGTTGTTAGAATCTCATCGTGTGTCTTCGCGTAATAGATAATATTTTCTTAACGGTCAAAATTTTTAATTTGTTCATTTGTATAATAATTTAAAAATAGCCATTAACTTGAATTCATCCTTGTAATACATGAACAAATAATTTTCTCAATTTAATAATTTTAATTAATGATGATCTATTTAATAAATTCGTACGTCTAAATAAAATATAAACCATAAAAGTATTAGAAAAACACCTATAGGCTTTACCATTTAATAATAATTAATAAATAAATTATCAAACAAACCAAAACTCACCAAACATATTAACCCAATTGATTAATATATATTTTTGTTAGAATCAATAGGCTTATAAACATAATAACATAATAAAGTAATCTCTAAAATTATCAAAAAATTATGTATTTACAGTTCACTCTCTATAACAGCCTGGTTTAGCTTTTGCGTATAGAGAGAGAAGTGTATTTATCGAATTTTGTAAATTTTTATTAGAGAATAATAAATTTTTGTAAGGATAATTTTTATTAGAGAATAATATATTTTTTCTAAGGATAATTTTTATTAGGGAATAATAAATTTTTGTAAGGATAATTTTTATCGAGAATAATTTTTTATTAGAGAAAAAAAATTTGTGGCAATAAAAATTAGAGAAAAAAAATTTGTTGTGGCAATAAAAATTAGAGAAAAAAAATTTGTGGCTATAAAAATCGTGTGCTATTTAAATACTTTTGAAATTCGATGTTCTTTCCATTTATATTGATATACATTTCCATAATATTACTATTCTATGTACGTAAATAGAAATACCTATATATTAATAAAATTAGCCAATCTCCAGTGTATATTAATATATAAAATTCAACGCCCGCAATGCCTGGGTGTAACGTCATACATTAGTAATTTCCTGCAGATAGTTTCTAAATTTGTAAAATAGCTTCTAAATTTGTACTAGTTACACCGAAATTTATACACTTCCAATCTCCACCACAGATTTTTTACAGCACATTTGGACAGGGGAAGTTGTACAAAATAGGCTTTACACTTCTTGTGACATATCGTTGGGCTTTACTAAAACGGTGTGACATTATCTACATTTATGGAACAACAGGAAAGACCGTCCTATATAAGGAATGAATTTTCACAATTGATTTCAAATTTTTTTTTATATATACAGTTTAAAATACTTTTACAAGGGTATCATGTAGCCCATTCTTGCAATAAATCATGTGTAAATAATTACACAAACTTGAAGCTTTACACTTTGTTGTTATCATATCTTTTGAATCCCTTTGAATCCCACAACTTTCATAATACGATTTACTCGAAGAAAAATTGCCTGAAATTAAACATTGCACAGAATGTAAAACCACTGAATCAGCTAAATTTCATCAACGAAAGGCAATAAATGGAAAGAAGCTGAGAACAACAACTTAGTGAAAGTAACATGTTGATTTATGTAACATATGCTATATGAATTTTGTAGAAAATCTTTTAAAAAGAGAACCTAGGAGAGTAAAAACCACAGATGCGGAAGGGGAAGGGGAAGGGGAAGAGGTAAGTGAAAAGATTGATTTCACTAGAGCCATCAAGGTCCTATATACGATTTTGATGAAATACGATGATTGCTCCAAGAAATAGAACCAAGCTTGAAGGGTTTTTTTGACCAACTCTATTTAGCAGCTCGGCCATTTGAACGTAATGGACCATGTGAGAGATTAATGGTGGTGTTCATGTGTTATCTTCTTCTTGTTTTAAATAATACAAAAATTAACTCTTTTAAGTTCGACCTTGTATTCTATTTAGACTCGGTAGATACAAGTATTGGAATAACTACAACATCAAGAGCAGTAGATCGTAAAAAGAAGCAAGTTGCAGATGAACATTGAGAAATATGTAAAGAATGCACTTGCAAAATATTCAAAAATACATCCTTGTTGAATGTTGACGATTATCATAGATTCACGCCCGGAGACAATCAGTATCCTTTAATTACTAAAACTTTGTTACTTCTAGGAAACCATCTACAAACATTTTTTGCAATTATGTATAATGTGATTACACTAACTATACTAATTTGAATAATTTATCACAATCATTGTTTACAAAGGTGTCAATCTAAATGTTTGATATCTTGGATTATCTTCAAGCCGAAATCAAAAAAATTGTCAACACTAAGGATACTGGCTGCAACTTTTGATGATGGTTGCTACCATCTTTGCGTCATATAAAAATGATTGCAACCACCTTTACAACCATTTTGTTTCCTTTTTTGGATTGCGACATGGAACACTAGTCAACACACTAAAAGAAAGTATGATGAAAAATATTAAATGAAAATTAATTTACCAAAAATAATGAAAATACAGTTGATGATGGATCCGGGTAATGTTGAATCAGCAACAGATGACAGCAACAATGGAAATTTTATTAGAACATGCAAAAAAATTTTTGGATTGTAAATTTTGTTTTTATTAAATAAATTTGTTTGATTTTTCATACATTGTTCATTTTTTGTCACAATCATATATCTTAAATTTGTTGTGTTTACAATCATTCATTGACATTCATTATATTAAGGTTATTTTGATTATATCGAGAGATATGGTCAAGAGAAAAGTTAGGAAGAGAGTTATTCTTCGACCAAGTCAAAAACCAACCCTTTAAATACATTTTCGAGTAGTACAATTTAATTTATTAGACTATTTCAATGGTTGCTTCCAACTTCTTAAATTCGTTAATGAAACAATTGTTGGTGAAGTGATTGTTGACAAAATGAATCAAACCCATATTTATTTCTACGTTATCAAATTCGTGATTTTAATTGGTCAATCAACAAATTGCATGGGTATTCCCTCCTGTTATTTTTGTGTTCCCAGAACGGTCTCTCCTGTTCTTTACACTTTGAAAAAATATTTATAGTTCTACAATATAAAGAAATAATCGTAGCATGCTTGGATCTACTTGGCCAAAGAACAGTAGAAATATTATTATTCTGTTTTATCATAGTTAATAACAAGTGTGTTGAATAATAATTATCTTATTTATTACTATGTTTCATCATAGTTAATACATTACAATAGCAAGTGTGTTGAATAAATAATTATCTTATTAACGATATAATATTTGAAATTCTTTCATTATGCAAAAAGGATTAATAGTGTAAATTTATGTTGCGTAATGTAGTTTTAAAGTAAGGATATCCTGATTATGTAACCATGCATTGAAACTTTGCAGGGACGCAACTCTTGTTACATCCATTTGCATCTGCGACACATTTTACTTAGTACCGACTTTATATTTCGAAAATGGTGAATGTACAATATGTAAAGAAATTAGAGAAGGATCAAAATATAGAAAGGTTTCAGAAGATAGTAAGATTAAAGCAGAGGCTGGAGGATATAATAATTTAAGTATTAGCAATTTAATTTGTAATGTATGTCATCAACTTTGATAGCTATAGTAAATGTGAGAAAACTTCTAAAAATGATGATTCATTTACAATGAGAGTGCAAAGCTCTTCTTCTTCAAATACTTTGAAATTAGTAGAATTAGAAAACAAATTGAAGAACTGCAACAACATATAACAGAATTGCCAATTAAATTAAATAAAACGAGGCCTATTGATACAAATAATTTAATTGGTTATTATTCATATTACAAAAAATATATAAAAACAAAAGCATCTGTGAAACTATTAACCTATCATATTTCATATTTAAAAACTTTGACGCTACCAAATCTTAATCATCTTTTCAAAACCAGAACCGGTCTTAAACCGAATTCAATAAAACCAGTTTTAATTTTGTGGAGAATATATATATCAAACGAAAGCAAAGTTGCGCGAAAAGAAAATCGGAAAAAATCAACACGGAAATAGATTTCAAGAATTCAAACCAGTCCAATTTTGATAAAGGGTAATTATCAAGAAAGTAACGTTTCTTTATTATTTTCAAAAGAAAGGCTTGTTTATTTTAAGGAATACTTTAATTAGAGTTTTTAGAAATTGAGGAGCTAGATAATTGAACCTTTAACTAACTAAGGCTCCGAATGAATTGAATCGAATTGAATTTTAGAGTGATTCGATTCGAATCAAATCGGATTCCTAAATTTTTTTAAAAATGTCGTATTAAATTTATATTACGCAGTGAATTTCAATGTAGTGTACCTCAATTTAATGGATTGAGGTTTAATAAGTAAAATTCTTCTCAATATAACGGATTTCTTGATACAGTCAGACTTGTTATAGTGGATGAACGGGACACATAAGAAAATTTTATTTAAAATCCGTTGTGACAAGATTGCTAGTCTTGCCACAACGGATTTTTACATGTGAAGCAAAAAATTTTAAAATCCGTTATGACAAGAATTTAATTATTATCATAGTCCGATGTGACAAGGTTTGATTGTATTAATGGATTTTCAAAAAAAATTTCTAATTACCCAAACTATCTGTTAAACCAAAATTGTGTATATTATTTAGTGATGGTAGCCGGAAGTTTTTTTGAAAAAAAGGTAGTTTCGCCCAATGCATATAATATAATAAGTATCTTAAATCAATCTACTTTATTTTAAAAAATTTAAAAAATAATTTCGCCCAATTTCAACCATTAAAATTAGTTTCGCCGAAGTTTAGTATTAGGCCAATTAATTTCGGCAATTTCGGCCCACTAAGTAAGGTAGTTTTGGCCATCATCACTAATATTATTATTATTGATAACAATAATGGTAACGTAATAACGAATAAAAAAGTAATCCAATTTACAATCGCACAATTCATTAATAATTCATTAAATCTAAATAATAAATATAACTAATTAATGATAATGAATGATTGCTATAGATTCAAATCAGTTCGAATCGGTTCGAATCGGTTCGAATTTCATTGATTCGTCCGGAGCCTTAATTCACGGAATTTGTTGTTACAATTTAGTATTAGTATAAATAAATTGGAAGCAATTATATTATTGTATTAGTATAAACATTAAATAAATAAATAATCATCGTTGAAACTTGGATACGATCTCATATATATAAATTATATATACATTAATAATAATATATATAATTCAAAAATACACATCATATACATATATTTAATATTTTTTTTTTGTTTGAAAATGGTGACAGAAAATTGATAAACGCTTTAGCACAATCTCTTTACATAAAGTTTGATTGTATGCATAATAATAAAACCGATTCAACCAGCTTTATTAAGTTCGGTTCCCAAAATAAACCGATTTATCGAATATGAAAAATAGGAAACGGTTTTATTATTATGCTGCAACTGGTTTTAAATCGATTGTACCTAAACCGGTTCCAACCTCTACTTGTAGATACTTGACGCTAACAAAAACTTTGACATTAACCAAGCTAAAACTTATCTTCAAACTTTGATCCGTGAAACCGTTAAATTGTTTCATACTTCCTAAAAACATTAATATTTTGAGTTCGTTAAAAAAAAAGTGCCCGTGAATTAGAAAATTATCTTTTCAAGATTTTTAGTTTACACATCTAAGGAATATTACAGTTAAATTCATATGAATTTTGTTATAAATTTGCACTAAATGTTTAACATTTTAATTATCTATTTTTCTTACTTTAACAATTACTTTAATTAACAAAGAAAATAATGACTTCCAGAATTGACTCTGTTCTTTACATAATGAAAAAATGTCTTTTTTTTTGTAACTGCCATAGAAAATTGTAGAACAACATTTAGAGGATGTTGTATGTGAAATTGAAATTATTTTTCATCTCATTATTTTTTTATCCAAAGGATGACACCACAGCAACAAATTTTCCACACAAGACATGATAAAAATCAATGGAAAATTTACAATTATTGAAAATGAGGGTTTATTAATTTCAACTTTGACACAATGTAAATTTATATAAAATTGATCAACATTTTGTATTTTCTCAGGTTGTATTGCAGTATTGTCAAATGTAATTGTCTTAGCTATTGCACCAGTTGATCTTCCTCAGGTAGGCCTTACTGTAGAATCAATCATTACAGCAATGAATAATCCGAATATTAATAATGATAAAATAAGTGTTGAGGTTAATGCTTATGAATATGTAGAATCTGAAAGGAAAGTCAATAAACTTTACAATGTATCAATTTAAGTGCTGAGAAACATCTTGTAACCACAACTATGTCAGTCAGGTGAGGAAGTGTACTTTTTCTAGCAGGAAATTTAGAATTTTCAAATAATAAATTTACTATCATATATTGAACAAAGTACTCAGACATCTAACTATTCAGAGTCAAGCTGGGCTTAATCTAAAAATACATCAACCAAAAAAAGCCCAACTCCCTTTGTTGATGAGGTGGCCAAGGATATCATAAGCTCTAATGGTAACAATAGCAAGAGTAAATTCCCACCTAAAAAATATAAAAAATCAAACACTTCATAATAAGTTTAGCTATTCATGGAGTACTTTTTTTGGGCGATCTATACCAAGCAACATTTGTTCCTATTGTAGAGCTCCTGCACTGTATAATTAAATATATATTTGTGTGTATCATTGTAAATCAAGTCACTAAAATTTCCCTGACCAGGAAAGACTTCCATCGGATTTTTTTGATATTGAAGTGTTTTGAATGTCCATCATAAATTGACTGGTGGTAATGTAGATAGAATGTGTAAGTTTTTGAGAGGGTTTGTGCACAAACAATAGCAATGACAGTTATTGAATGACTTTATAGTGCATCCACACTTGAATGAAATACCTAATGGATTGATACATTCAATAGCACCACGTATTTTATCTTGCCATTGATAATTCTACAGGATTGTACAAGCCTAGTCTCTTGGAAACACCATATACATGTCTGAGATGGACGATATTAATTATTCCAATTGTATAGTATCTTCCGTGTTTCTCCTTATATAAGAGTTTAATTAGCATACCAGTGTTAGCTCCCCAAAATCAAGCTTTAATAAAAGAAAGTATACATATCAAAAAGCAAACAACCTATCCTTAATAAATCAAAATGGGATTGTTTCGCGAGCTCATTAAAAAAATACCGAGCAAATCGATACCTGAAATTTTTTATTTCACATTATGCAATAAATAACAAATTTTAAATTCAAATTCAAACTTAATCAATTTAAAAATGAAAAATAAATTCTATTATATGCAGGTCACTCCTGTTATGAGAACAACTCGTTATCAGGTAGGTCTTATGTAATTGGCATAAATAAACAAACTTAGCAACTTTATATTATAATCATGCGACACAATCAGTTTATCGTTTATTTTTTAGTGTTTACATAATAAGTTACATAATAATAAGAATTTATCAAGTAGGTCCTATGTAATCAATCACTGGCAGAAATAAACAAACTTATTTATATTATAATCATGTGATACAATCAGTTTATCGTTTAATAATATATTTGAATTAAAAAAAAAAAATTATTTCTGCCAGTAACACGTCGGACCTACCTGTTAATTCATTTATCAGGTAGGTATCAGATACCTATACTTCTTATAGGCAATATCCTTTTTTCACGTACCTTTCGGATACGTGAAAAACATATTGACATACAGATCAGGTACCCGATGACAAGAACATAACTCAATACAAATGAAGTTTGTTTGCTGAGTGTTAATGGGCAAGCCTATATCAATCAGGTGAAACAACAACAAACAACGATGTATTGCAATATATGTGATAGAGAAATCGTAATATATAGAATTACCCGTTTTCCCCATACGTTCTTATAATTTTCTTCCAATAATAAAAAAATGAAAGATAAATAAAAGCAACCAACTAAATACAAAGTACCAATTAACAATCCGTTAATAAGTCCTCTCAATCAAGTAGAAGCATTCAAGCAGATTTTGACAAGGCACTGATAATACAATCAAGATCAGAGCTATTTTCCACATACATTCTACAAGGAATATGACTTTCTTCAGTTTCCTTGGCTGCTTCTCTAATATCTTTCATTGTATTATACAAATCTCTTGTTTTTTCATAGAGTTCTTCAAATGATGGCTCCTTATCATAATCTTTAGGTGAGTTATCATACCCCAAGTCAATACTATTATTGTCCAACCTTCCTTTTTTATTTAAATTTTCATGTGAATCAAAAGATTTATTTTCTTGTTCATTTTCAAGTTTATGTTTCTTGTTTGTAAGATCAAGTTCTCTAATTGCATCGCAAGAGTTTTCTAATTTCATCGCAAGCAATGGCAAATTCTTCTGTTTCAATGATCTGAAGTGTGCCATCATTTGATTGGTTGTTATTATTGTTTTTGTTATTATTCTTACTACTACTACCGCTATTATTATCTATTATCGATGTATTGTTAGCTTGAGCAATCGAAGAAGAAGGTGTCACTAATGATATAGAAGTATTATGACTTAATTGTTTGATGCTTGGTTGAGAAATTGTCGATGGTTGAGTTTGTTGAGGTATGGAAACATTATTTATATTATTATTATTTGTTGATTGCTGTTGAGGTTGTTGAACAACTGTTGTTTGATTAATTTGTCTTTGTGTGTCCGTTGGTAAATCAGAAGGAGTAGGAGTTATAATTGAACGAGAATTTAATTGAGTATTTAAGACTGGTCTTAAATATAATGCAGTATGATTACGAGCAACAACAGGTGTATTTGTAGAACTCATAGTATTTTGATTTTTATTATTTGAAGAATGTATAATATTGGGTCTTTGTATCAGTTGTTGTTGTTGTTGTTGTTGTTGTTGTTGTTGTTGAGCCTGGGCCATTTGATCTAATTATTGTTGAGTTATAGGATTATTCATTGTTAGTATGAGTTTTTTTGATTGCTAACACCCGTTCTTGCATATATATCCTTAAAAATAGTGAAATTTTTAAACCTTTATGCTTATAACTTTTGATAGAAAGTGTGCGGAACGTGCGGCGCTAACTAGTGTTGGTTTCCAAACTAAAGAGTTTCACAACTATGCAAAAGTCAAAAAGTTTTCGCCATAAGTCGAAACTAGTTTGACTTTTGACCTTTGACATATAACTTTTAATTTTAGTTGACTCTTACCTCTTCAAAATAGTTTGGG